AAAAAAAAAAAAAAAGGAAAAATGGCTACCTTGAGATTATCCGACAACGAGCGAGGAGTGACGAAAGCGGAGGTTAGCGACAGAGCAGAAGAAGCCATCTTCAGATGATCCACCAGAAGGAGAAGAAATAACGGTTTTAATAATCAAGAAATCAACTGAATAAATAGTTGGGGATCACAAATAATTCAAGATTGCAGGTGATAGAGATGGGGAAGTGAAGGATGGTGAAATACCGAACAAAAAAGGTGGTACTTTTATGGAGTTTGTCTGTACTCAGAGCTCTTTTATGTGCCCAAATCAAAGGGAGATTGAGGGAGTGAGTGAGTGAGTGAGTGAGAGTGGTGTGGATGAGGAAAAAGAAAACGCTAAGCTGAGCGATATAAACAAGAGCAAGACCAAAGGGGATGATGATGCCTTTTGCTGAGTATAACTTAGTAACAGATTTCAGCCACAATCATTTTTCTTGGGCGCTTTATTTGTTTAAAAACAATAAAAATTGAGTGGAAAAAAAACATGACCAAAATAAAAATCACGTATTCTCGAAATACGTTTTTTTTTAAAAAAAAAATATTTATAATTATTTTTGTAATCTAAAAACAAAATCTGTTAAAATTCGAATATTAAAAAAAATAATGAAGGTAAAACGTATTATGCAAGTACGTTTAGGGTTTATAAAACGTATTATCAAAATACGTTTTCTATTTTATAGTATGTAAATTAAAAAAAAAAATCATTTTACCATATTTTTAAAATACGTTTTTTTGTAAAAACGTATTTTCGAAATACGTTTTAATTGAGAGAAAAAAAAAGGAAAAAACGTGAATGCGATTTCATTAAAAATGAGTTTGTGTTATGAATTATTTGTTATAAATTAATATATGTGAATGACTATTTTGTCTTCGATGTAATTGTATCATTACGGTTGTGCCATCAGAAGTTTCTTATAAATAGGAGCTTCAATTATAATAAAAACCGTAACGAAGAGAAATATTTTCTCTATTATCTCTCTTCTCTCTAGTTTTATAACACGTTATCAGCACGAGTCTCTACCCTCTAGAGCTTGATTTGTAATATGACGAGAGTATGCTCTACAGTTGCGTCTTAGAGACGATCCTCTGTATCAGAAATCAAATTATTACTTTTAGTCGTTACTTGAACCAACTCACCATACCAGATGTTTGAATACTTTTCTTTCTCGTATCATGGCTATTTTTATTACTTTATTTGAGCCCAAATTTGCCCAGCCACCATCATAATGCTCTTACGGTCTATAACTCGTCTCACGATCGCCAAAGGAAAAGAAATTCCAAAAAGAAAAAAAAAATGAATATAGTTATATGTGATGGAAAAATCATCCTACTTGAGTGCAGCTATGGATGTCTCTCTTATCTCAGTAACAAGGATCATGGTGCTTCCATTGATAAGCACAAGTCGTCATATTCTCAGCAAATTCTCCAACATTATCTTCAGAGTATATTCCAAAAGCAACATCTATCAAAATTATTGAGGTAAAAAGAATTTTAATTATTAAATGCAGTATAATGAACTCTTTTATAGTGTGCACCATGTCAAGAAGGTGGGTTATTGCACTTACTGAATTGAAAATTTGCGAAATTGTGTGTAAATGTATACTATGAGGTGAGACTACAGAAAAATGAAGAGAATAAATGAAATTGAAATGTGATGGAAAGAAAAGAGGATGGTGAGTAGAATGAATGAAATGATATGGGTTAATTTGTTCTTGATATGCACAGGAGAAAAAATGAAAGAGAAAGAGAATGGGTGAGGTTGGAAGATGGTGGAGAGGATGACGGATGAAATATGTGGAAGGAAAGTAGTATGTGTGAAATTGGAGAAAGACAAAATAAATGAAAGAAAAAATAGAGATGGACCATCAACCTTATCATGTCAATTATGGAGAGTGGTGTGATATTAAAGAAAGAAAAATATAAGGAGAGAGAAAAAGAAGTTTGTTGGGAACAATTAATGCACATGAAGAGTTTCATTTATCTTGAATGTGTTGACAAAGGAAAAAGATAAGAGAATTTGTTAACAAATCCATTTAACCTTCATATTGGTTTTCATAAAATAAAAGAAACTTTTATTACTAAATTTATTCTTCTAAATCCCATAATAACCAGTTTAATGATAGCTTCAATTTAAGACCAATATTGATATAGTTTATTATATTATATGATTATAAAAAGCTTAAAATTTGTTATTGCGAAAAATCTCCTTTTTGCAGGGGAATCTCTTTCGGTTGATTATCTGGTTTCGGAATTCAAAACCTTTTTCTCTCGTACTCTTTTGCCTTATTTACATGTACATCTGGATATTTACGGTTTTCAAACCCTTGTGATATCACTCTGTGTAGCTCTCCCACTTTCAGCTTTTTAGCTGGGTCTTTTCAGCGTTTTCGTTGTTTTGGTGTTTGTTATTTGTGATTTATGATATAAAATCTATCGTTTGGAAAAAAAAAACCCTTGTGATATGAAAATAAGTAGTTGTGGCTACGAGGACCGGCCAGTGCGGCTCTGCCGCCAGCAAGTAATATTTAATGGTAGCCGGCGGGTCAATTGTTGGTCAAAATATTATGAATAGTTATGTGAAATGGCCAAGTGTTGCAGCCAACAGCTATAGATAATGCTATTGTACGGAGAAATAAATCGGCAAGTGCATTAATTAATGATAGCAGATAATATGGAATGGCCAGGTGGTAAAGCCATGTGCAACAGATAGTATATATAAAAAGATATGAATGACTATATATACATGGGCCGGCCAGTGCGGCTCTGCCGCCGACGATGGACAGTACAAATTAAGCGATAGCCGATGAGTGAAATGAATGATATTTTAAAGAAACGATAAATTGATAAGATGGTACCAGAAATTACCACATGATTAATGTGACGTTGGAAGTTACGATATAATGATTAAATAATATCGTGGTATAGTGATACTTGAAGCTACCATGTTATGATTAAATAAAATGATGAAATGGTACCAGAAGCTACCATTGGTGATTGAACAAAATGAGAAAGTGGTACCAAAAGTTACCAGTTATAGGTGATCACACAAAATGATTTCTCAATATATTATATAAGTTTAAGAGACTATATCAGATCACATTGAGATTCGAGATTATATAGATATTACAATAAAGTGGTCCAGAAGAAGCACATATGCAAATGATTGTAGTCATGAAGTACTACACGCTTATATTGTGGAAAAACTAAATTGATATTATTATTACTGAGGAACAAGTACAAAAAGTTCATATGATGGAAATATGGAGAAGAGACAGTACATACTTGATAAATACGAAATACGCAAATATTATATAATAGAACCCATAAAAGAAGGGTGCGTCTCCAGAGTATAAAATGCCGTAAATCTGCCACCCATTATTGTTATATGGGTTCATAATGAGAGATCTAAAGGATCAAAAGCTCTTTTTCGCCTGACCCCTTGTGTTTCCACAGAATCTTGAAATGTGACGCATTCTTGAAATTTTTTGATAAACTCAGCAGACGTATCTGCAGATTTGAATACCTCTCTCGTTGGAGGAGATATAACGGTTTGATATATTCCTTGGTCTAAAAATCCAAGCATTAATAAAAAAAGTTATTAACATTCAATAGACCTATGAACTTGTTATGAAGTTTCAATTCTGTCCAAGAAGCAAGAGTGAATATTGTCATTAGCGTTCCATAACCGCCTGGAAGAATGATAAATGTGTCGCTCTTGTTCACCATATCCATCATACAATCATAAATAAAATGAGTTAGCATCATGCATATGGAATCCTTGACGACCCTTGTTGAAACTCTATGAAAAGGTATGATACTTTTCACTTCTATATCAAAACATTTTTTTCCAGCCGTTAAAAGATTATCAAAAAAAGTGATGCTAAGAGACTATATCAGATCACACTGAGATTTTCCAGCCATCAGAAGTTTCCAATAAATATGAGATTCAATTATAATAAAAATCGTACCTAAGAGAAACATTTTCTCTATTATCTCTCTTCTCTCTAGTTTTATAACAATTTGAATAAATGTTTTCTATTTTTTTTGCTGATGTATAAGTTATACATCAACAAAAGGATGATCTTCTTTTCCTGATGTATAACTTATAACAAATTTTAGCCACAATCAATTTTTTTTTATTAAATGTTTTCTATTTTTTTTTCTGTTAGAATGCTTTGAGAATAAACTTACGTAAATAATCTATCTGAAAAGATTGGGAAGCATTATTTACTTAATTTAATTAATTTAGTAAGTTTTTGAAAAATAGATTTATGTGTATTTATATTTTATAAATAATCCGTCAAAAAATATGAATTTTTAAAAAGAAATTTTTCTTACATGTATTTTCAACAATGTCTATTTTTTAAAGGAAAATACTAATTTCTTTCTATAATATATGTTTTAGTTTTAGGAAAAATACTAATTATTTTATATGCCAAATTAGTAAAAGGCATGAATAAACCTAATTATTTCTCTCCATAATTTTGTCTTTTGTTAAACTAATGAAAACATATTTTAATTAGAGATTACTATGCAGTGCCCAATATATGAAATAGATTAGAATTATATTTGTTAATAATATAAAAGTGGTTATTTATAACAATTTAAAACATCATATAGATGAATTTAAAATGATAAATTAGTGAATCGTGTTTTCAGCCACTATGCAAGTAAGTAAACCGAGAAAAAGAATAATATAATCTTTATTTTAGATTAGAAAAATTATAAAAAAAAATAAAAAAATTAATAGAGTTTTATGAGTTAGAGTCTTGGAAAATGAGTTAACTTTCACTTCAAGTTTAAAAGTTAGTATTATCCATTTGAGATTTGAAAGATAAGAAACTATCATTTATGTGTTTGAAATATTAAATTTATCCTTTAGGGCTCAAAGAATTTTAAAATATCAATTTAATATTTTGAATATAGTTGCAAAAATATGAATAAAACTTAAAACTTTATGGAAAATATTCCCAAATTTTTGCATGTCATATCACTTATAAAAATTATAAAATCCTCCCTATATATAATTCCCGAATGCGCTAAGCCTACGTGGCTGCTTCTGGTGCTTC